GAGTGGATGGTGGCAGGGTGGGGCTACCCTCCCTCCCTGTGGAGTGTCCTATTTTTTGAATGTTAAAATATGGTATCCCTACCCTTCAGAGTGCAGCTCTCCATTCATACCGGTAGCAGGCTGCAGCATGAGGTCTCCGCTACCTCACTCCCTCTCCCTCTTTCCTGTTGGTAGTGGCCAAGGGAATGCTGGGAAATGTAGTTCTTTCCCTGCTCCAGGGCTGGCTCTATAGGCAGGGAGCTAACCAAGGAACTACAGCTCCCAGGGCCCCCTGTTGGTTCTCAGCTCCCATGCTGGATCCCTGCCGCCCCTGCAAATGGGCTGCCCCAAGCACATGCTTGCTTTGCTGGTGCCTAGAGCCGCCCCTGATTGCCGATGATGATGATATCAACAAGCAGGGGTGGCCCACTCTACTCTTCTGTTCACAGAAGCAGTAAATCTATGGGATTAGTGTGTTTGTCACAACATTTTATCCTGTGGCCCTGCACCTAGCAGGAGAAAACAATATCTTCATGGACTATCTTAGCAGAGACAGCTCCCAGATGCACAAATGGGCCATAAAGGATTAGTTTAGACTATATTCTCCATCTGAGGTCAGTCAAAGGTTGACCTGTTCACAGTAAGGGTCAATGTTGCCTCTCTCTGTTCCAGAACAAGCAGAGACTGACAATCCCTGTGAGATGCCTTCCTTTTGCATTGGAGGAAGGGCTTGATGTATTTGTTTCCTTTCTTCCCATTGATTTAAAAGATGGTAAGGAAGATATATCAGGACAGGGCAAGAATGATGCTCATTGCCCCGACTTGGCCATATCAGCAGTAGTCATTACCAGTCTCCTTCAGCTGTCCAGCAGAGTCTTCACATATCTTCCCCTGCCCTCTGCTCTCCTGTCCAAGCCAGGAGGGCAGGATCTTTCATATGGACCCGCAGTCTTCACCTGACGACATGAGTGATTGGACTTGAGCAGTCTGCTCTTGAGCAGTCACGTTCTTCATCTGTGCAGGATGTACTAATTAACTCACAAAAGCAATCTACTAGAATTTGTTGCCATCTAAAGTGGTCCAGATTTCAAACTTGGATGAAGGGACAATCTGGCTCTCCTGTATCTGCTTCCATTTCTTGTGTTTTCGAATACCTAATATACTTAAAGCATGAGGAGGAGGGGGCTCAGACACAGACCAACGGATACTACTAGCAAGAATCTTCAGCTTTCTGGCACATGGAGCACATGGACCCCCACAGTGGACTACAGATAGGGGGCATGCATTTTGAAGAATTCCAGTTACTAGAAGAGACATAACCTTTCTTTTTTAAATACTTTCCCAGAGTTCTTAGTATAAGGATAAATGACTGACTTGGTAATTTAGCAGTAATAACATTCACTGATGTGGCAATTCAGAGTTCTTCTAGTCCCATACTGGGATGCTGCAAACTTGTGGAGAAGAGAGACCTCTTTGCTGTCCAGTGGCACCATTTGTTGGACAGATGAAGCAATGCCTTATGGAGAGAGCAGAATCTAGCTTCTCTCAGAAACAAGGTCCGCATGAATGGTGTAAGATCTTCAAGGGTGATAGCCGGAGAATAAAAAAGGATATAGATTCAGTGTACTGTCTCTGTAGATATTTTGGTTTAGTAAAGAGATTTATTTAGCTTTAACTGATATAAAGCAAAGGTGCAGAAGGAGAATTCCCTCTGTTGCAGAGTCTCAGAGATTCCCTTAATCACATAGTCCAGAGCTGTAGGACAGATGGCTGGAGGAATCTGGTAGGACAGAGAGGCTGGTGCCGGTCTTTATTTATGTTAATTTAGTTTCCTTTTCATTCCCTTCAGAGGATGTAGTTCTTATTCTGAACTAATGGATATAATGGCTAAGATTCTGGGCATGCCGTAAATAGCTGTGGAGGAGACTTCACACCCAGTGTTTGATATTTTGGGTTAATTCTCCAGAAGCAGAATTATTTAACCTTTTTTGGATGGACTGTCTCAACCTGCTAAATCAGCTAACCAATGGCTGGGGAAGCTGATAACCCTCTTGCGGGGAGCTGGTAAAGTTTTCCTGTGATCCATATGCATCCACCTGTGATTTCTCTGGTGCTGGAGACCACAGGTCAATGGTCTGAAGGAGGTATGGTGCATTAAACTTCTTCTGATAGGGAGAGAAAGAGGATGGATGCATTAGGAAGAAAATATTTTTCATCTGCCACCTTTGGAATGAGAATCATGAAATATCAGGAAGTTATGGCATGATACTGCCATCACCTATGGAATCAGTTATCATTGTTTATTAATAGTATTATGGATGACCAGAATAATTCTATTCAAAGTACTTTCTAATGTAAACAAAAAACAAACAAAAAAACGATGGGGATTCCATCCAATATTGGATCAGAGGAAACTGAATTTTTCCATAAAGAGGTTCCACTTCCACTTGCTGTCTCTAGAATCTGTAATTCCTTCTCTTACCCAACAGGACTGATTTGCAGCTGTTGATTTAAAGAATATTTATTTTCACATATCCATAAGACCGTCTCACTGCAAATATCTCCATTTCGTCATAGGAAAAGATAATTTTCAATACAAGTTCCGCCCCTTTGGCCTATCTATGGCCCTAAGTGTGTTTTTTTTAAAATGCCTGTCGGTGGTGGTTGTTGCCCACCTACCAGAGACAGGGTATTTTCATCTCCCCTTATTTAGATGATTGGTTTATCAAAGTTCCATCAAAGAAAGCCCTCTCTATAGTGATGTCCCAGATCTGTATGCTTTTCAACAACTTAAGGCTCAGAATAAACTGGGGAAAATCATTACTAATACCCACTCAATGGATCCTTTTACAGGCGCCATGTTGGACTTAACAGCGGAGACAGATGCTTAAAGAAAAAATCAGCCATAAATCTTCTACATCAATTTCCAGAACAAATTATTTCTTTTTTTGTGTGGTTAATGGGTCTCATGGCTTCAGCGATGAATGTAACTCCCTATGCTCATCTACAAATGAGGCATTTGCAATATTGAAATTCAGCCCCAGCGTCAACAGTACACATAGGCTTCTGATTGTTCCAAGAAGGATATACCTATCCCTCTTATGGTGGACCCATTAAAACTTTTAAGCCTCATGAATACATAGCCCAACTAACCTAACAATTGTTTGTGTAGGCCTTTTTTTATTGCCTGAATAAGGCCAACCAAATTAGCAGAATGACTGAAATTGTTAATCCCATCTAAAACTAAGGTATGCAGTTTTGACTCACATGGGTCACTACAGGGCCCAGGAAAAGTACAGGTAAACTTATTGATTGATTAATATGAAATTAAGTTACTATTTTAGGCTACTTGGTTTGTCCTTGTCTACACTTGGAGTTAAACTGTGTTCAGAACTGATTCAGCTGCAACAGGTCTCTTTTAATGTAGACAACATTTTAAACAGAATTTTAAGGTATAGCTTTCATAATTTTATGTATACGATTATATAATTCATCTACAGTCCTGCAGAATTTTCTTGATTTTGGAGATTAATCATAAAAGGGGGTTCTCATGATAAAACTGTTTGCCACCAAGGACATCAAGCGTTCCAGAAGGGGCAAGAGCCTAGTTCTCCTTGGCCGATGCCTGCCTTCTGCAGTGGTATCCAGCTCCCCTTTCCACCAGTTCCACTGATCCCCAAAATCAAGAGACAGCTGTGAGATATATACGGTATATAGCCTTTCACCTGTGACACATGCATTGCAAGCATGCGTTTATGAGGAAAAAGTTCAGTTTCATACTCTTTACTTAAGAAAATCTCTCAATAATGTCATTAGATTGAAAGAAATTGCCAAAAGACAATAGAATTGGGTCTCACATTAAGGCCTGGAATATAATATGTTGCAAGATAGTTTGAGGCCATATTTTTAAGTGATGCCTCTTCAGTGTTAAGTGCATGTGACTGCAGTTTACATAATGCTAAAATTGTTTTACTTTTGCTTAAGACCATGATTAGTGTTGATTTATGTCCATTTACTTTTAAATTGTTTTATAGAACATAATTTTGTTTCTAATTTTCATAGATCATAAGCACACCACAAAGACTGACCAATTCAGGGAGTGTTCTGATTGGGAGTCCATACACCCCAGCTCCAGCAATGGTCACTCAGACGCACATAACAGAAGCCACTGGCTGGATTCCAGGGTAAGAATTTGTTTTGTTTAAAGAGAAGTGCTGGGCACTGGGGCAAACCCGTTTTGATTTTTCTTCTGTATACTCTTGCATGTGTATCTTGGCTCAAATATCCTAGTTCCTACACAGTTCAAAGGGTGTGAGCTGTTAAGCATATTTTGTACTTTTAATGTCTATAATATGTAAGCATGTAACTACATGTACCAGTGATTTCAGTCCAGGTTCATTTCACTACCTAATTTGTATATGGGTTTGTGGTGACGCTTATTTTCCGGTAGTAATGGAAAGGACTGAATGTATTTGCGCAATTAAAACAAGTCCTTACTCTTCATAGATCCATACAAATTTACAGTATCCTTACTGTAGAGGATTATTGGTGTTTGCCAACAGGAGAAGGGTGTGTCAAACATGCCTTAGCAGGCATTTTTTAAAAACAGGCCATAAAACTAGTGACAAACTCTAAATGTTGTTGATGGCTGTATTTTCATATTACTGATTTACAGTGTTGCAATCTGTTGTTCTCACAGAGATCTCTTACTGAAGAGCAAGGTGCTTTGAGTTTTGAGCTTTAAAATCTTTCAGGACCCCTTTATTTTTTTGATTTCAGCATTCCTGCACCTTAAGATATCATGGACAAATTTAGTACAATGCTTTTGAAGATAACTTTTAATTTTCAAGTAAGACTTTTAGGACAAGTATACCCAGTAGCTCAACATCAACATATCCTTCCCTGCAAATACCATTTCTCATTTAAAATAGGCTTATGTATCTTTTGAATGCTGTACGTGCTGAGATACCATGGTGATGGATGACATTATAAAAACCTAGACAGACAGAAAAGGCACAGTCTGTGTAAGTGGCCGGACCATGCTACATCAACTATTAATGTTATTAATCTCTCAGTAATATTTTGCTGTTCCATCCAGGATTCTCAGATCAGTTTTCAGACACTAATTAAGTAATCTTCAGTTCTTCTTTGAGTGATTGCTCATGTGTATTTCACAATAGGTGTGCATGCTCGCCACGTGCACCGGTGCCAGAAGTTTTCCCCCTAGCAGTATCTGGAGGGGAGAGCCCCAGCGACCCCTGCAGAGGCGCCTCCATGATGCGGTATAAGGGGCTCTGCGTGCTCCCACCACCCTCAGTTCCTTCTTGCCGCCAGTGAAGGTGCCTTGGAACTGCTCTGCTCCAGCTTTGCTGTAGCTCATCCCCAAAACTGCTTGTTCGTTCAGTGTATGGTACCTGTAGTTAGTTAGTTTAGTTTAGTTAGAGTGCCCGGGCCGGGGCATGCCGCGCGTCCCAGGTTTTAAGTCGTGCGATACTTATAGGCGATCTATGCCACTGCGTGATCCGCACGCTGACTGTCTGCACTGTTTGGGGGAAAACCCATCTCAGAGATCGCTGCAAGATTTGCAAGTCATTTAAGCCTCGGAGAGAGAGAGAAAGGGACATTAGGGTCCGGGCTATTCTGATGGAGTTGGCACTGACCCCAGCTCTGGTGTGCCGCTCTGAGTTGGCACCGGGCACCGCGGTGTTGGTGCGCAGCAACCCTTCGACACCATCGACCAGTCGGCACCGCCCCCCGTCCACAGGGCACGCCAAGAAGGCTAGAAAGAGGCCTTCTTTGCTGCGGCACCAGAGTAAACCCGGGACAGAGGCTAGACCCATGTCGGGCAGTCCTCGATCTCCACCGGCCTCTAGGCCTCTGACTCATGTCGAGTGGAGCAGCCCAGCCCATTCAAAACAGGCCTCCCCAGATCTCCAGATGCCCTCCACACCGGAGGCCCTGCAGGCTGCCCGGGATGTTATGTCCATGCTGGTACCAGGAACACCGCTGATGACAGCCCCACGCTCCAGAGGCAAGCCACCGCTGGGATCTCTGCAGTCGCTCCCAGCTCGGTACCGGTCTCGGTCAAGGGAACGTTGCCGACGCCATTCACCGCCCAGCGACCGTTCAGGGCAAAGTCCACATGGATTGCCCTCAACGCCCACCAGACTGTCTGGTTGGGTTCCGTCCAACTGAGACTCTCGGCGCCGCTCCGCCTTGAGAAGCAAGCACCGACGGGACCGAGGCAGACGTCACCAAAAGTCCTCGTCTTGGAGGGCAGCCAGTCACGGCATGGACGTCGACGTTGTTCCCTTTCAGCATCCCGCTCCAGGACCCCACCACGGCACCACCTCCGCAGCCCCGGGCGACAATCACTGGTGTCCCACCATTGCGTGTCCGCCTATCGGAGCCGATCACGGAGCAGCTGTTACCGACGGTACCTGTCCTCCACGTCGGGATCGCGGTCCTGTGGTCAGCATCGCTCCGGGCACCGCCACTCCTCCTCCTCCGGGGACAGTGGCAAGTCGTATGTCAGCCTGGCCTCCCTTCGTAGTCGTCCATCGATGGGCCAAGCCAGCCAGGCCAAACAACCGGCTCCGCTGGTGCCACAGCAGGTGCATGGCACCGGGCCCCGTGGCCAGCCCAATGGTACCAGTGGGCACAGTGGCCCCCGACCCAGCCCCCAGCGGGGGCTCGCTCGTTGGCCGAAGCCTCAGAAGGACCATCGGCCTCCCTCTCCAGACCTCCAAGGAAGGAGTCGGTGGGATGTGCATCCTCGGCACTGTGCCCAGAGACCGACCAGGTGGTGGACCCTCCAGTGCCGGTGGACACTCAAAGTACCGCGCCGGCCTCCTCGCCCTCCCCGGATGAGGCGATTATGGCCCCGCCTCCCTCTGTCCCGCAGGAAGACTTTAGGGCCCTCCAAGAACTCTTAGAAAGGGTGGGATCAAGCCTCCACCTCCAAGCAGAGGAGATGGAGGAGCCCTTGGACTCCCTGTTTAATGTGCTGTCCTCCTCGGCACCGGGCAGGGTGGCCTTGCCTCTCCATGAAGGGGTGGCAAAAATTTCAAATGCCCTGTGGCAAACACCAGCCTCATTGGCCCCCATCTCTAAGAGAGCAGAATGCAAGTATTTTGTACCTGCCAAGGGACACAAGTACTTATACACCCACCCTGCTCCTACCTCCCTGTTGGTCAAGTTGGTCAACCACAGGGAGCAGCAGGGCTAGCCAGCCCCTACACCAAAAAATAAAAATTCACGGAGGCTGGACTCTTTTGGAAGGAAACTTTATTCGTCCTCGAGCTTCCAGTTATGGGTGGCGAACCACCACGCTCTCCTGGGCTGGTATGAGTTCAATCTGTGGGGCTCCCTGCCCAAGTTTGAGGACTCCCTCCAGGAGCACAACAGGAAGGAGTTCAAAGCGCTGGTGGAGGAGGGTGCAGCGGCTGCCAGGGCAATCCTGCAGGCAGCTTCGGATGCAGCAGACACAGCCGCGCGGTCCATGGCCTCCGCGGTGTCCATGAGAAGGGCTTCGTGGCTCCTGCTCTCTGGGCTGTCCAGTGAGGCACAGACCTTCCTGCAGGACCTCCCATATGACGGCAAAGCTCTGTTTGCGGAACAAATGGATACAAAGCTGCATGCCCTGAAAGACTCCCACATGATTCTCCAGACTCTGGGTCTCTATGTTCCGGCTCCAGCTAAACCTAAGTTCAAGCTGCAGCAGACTCCCACTCAGGCCACCCACCCAAAATACGAGGCCGCTTATAAGAAGTCGCAGGACTATAAGAGGCGCCCACAGAGGCAGTCTCGGCCTGTCCCCCAACCTGGGTCCTCCAAGGGCAAGCAGGCGAGGAAAAAGCGGTTTTGACGGGACGCCCGGGGGCGCCCTGCCAGTTCTCGTCAGGGATCCACCCTCAATAAAACTTCCCTTCTCCAATCGGTTGAGTGCTTTCCTCCTGGAGTGGTCGTGGCTGACCTTGGACCGATGGGTCCTCAACACCATCTCCCAGGGTTACACCCTGCAGTTTACTTCCTTCCCGCCCAACCACCCCCCCGCCCCCATCCCTCCTGGGGGACCCCTCGCACGAGGCTCTGCTTGTGGAGAAGGTGGGGTGGCTCCTGGGCCTAGGAGCGGTGGAAGCGGTACCCAGGGAGTTCAAAGGCAAGGGGTACTACTCCCGCTATTTCCTTATCCCGAAGGCCAAAAGGGGGCTCAGGCCCATCCTGGACTTGCGAGGCCTGAACCAGTACATGATGAAGCTCAAGTTCCGCATGTCCTCCCTGGCCTCCATCATCCCCTTTCTGGATCCCGGGGACTGGTACACCGCACTCGATCTGCAGGATGCGTACTTCCACATTCATATATTCAAGGGGCACAGATGCTTCCTCCGTTTTGTGGTGGGGCAGGAACACTACCAATTTATGGTCCTCCCGTTTGGCCTGTCCACTGCCCCCAGGGTATTCATAAAATGTATGTCGGTGGTAGCGGCCTACTCAGGCGCCGGGGGGTCCAGATCTTCCCCTATCTGGATGACTGGTTGGTCAAGGGCAGCTCCCAGTCGCAAGTGCGGGATCACGTGGCACTCCTGTCCATGTGCACCACTTTGGGCCTGTTGGTAAACAATGCCAAGTCCACGTTAGTCCCGGTTCAACACATAGAGTTTATCGGGGCGGTCCTGGACACCTCGTCGGCCAGGGACTCCCTCCCACCAGACAGGTTCGAGACCCTGAAGGGGCTCATCGACACGGTCACAAGGTTTCCGGTGACAACAGCCAGAACATGCCTCCAGCTCTTGGGTCATATGTCAGCGTGCGCGTATGTGGTCCATCACGCCAGACTCAGGATGAGGCCCCTCCAGCTCTGGTTGGCCTCGGAGTTCTCCCAGGCCAGGGACAGGATGGACAAAGTTCTCACAGTACCCAAACCAGTGATCACCTCCCTACGGTAGTGGTCCTCCCTGAGAAACATGCTCCAAGAGGTCCTGTTTAGGGGCAGGGCCCGGTCACTGGAACTGGTGTCCGATGCGTCGGACCTGGGATGGGGGTGCCCATGTGGGGAACATTCAGACCCAAGGTCTGTGGTCAGCTTGGGATCTGACCCTCCACATAAACGTCAAGGAGCTCAGGGCGGTACGGCTGGCGTGCATGGCCTTCCGCTCGCACCTGGAGGGCCAGGTCATCAGGG